TCAGGAGCAGGCGCTCAAGGTCATCTTTGACTACCCAATGACTCTGAAGCCAAACAGGGATTCAAGAGATGGTGTCCCCGAAAAACAAATGAACCGTTTTGAGGAAATAAAACTCATGTGCTACGAAAGTGCAGAAGCAGGTGTTGGAGTTTGGGGGTATAGGGGAGCAGCGGATAGGGTGAAGAAGGGAGGGGGCAACAAAAGATTGTTTGAAAATGCCATAATGGGGGGGGGGGGGGGGGCTGGAGAGATGGCTCAGCGGTTAAGAGCACTGTCTGCTCTTCCAGAGGTCCTGAGTTCAACTCCCAGCAACCACATGGTGGCTGACAAGCACCTATAATGGGATCTGATACTCTCTTCTGTCATGCAGGCGTACATGCAAATCTAGTGCTCATATGTATAAATAAATAAATCTTAAGGAAAAAAAAAAAAAAGAAAATGCCGTAATAGAGCTTAACATTCTACGTGCTAACTTACAAGAGAGACAAACAAACAGAGTATTTCATTTAAAAGCCAAGACAAATTGCTTGAAGTGGGATATCATTCTATAATCAATGCTAAAGTTTATGGTGATATTTCTGGATAACTTAAATACAACACTCCATATACAACAAAAAAGATAAAAATTGATCCAAAGACTGTTTTAAGTTGAAGGAAGAAAAAGGAGGGGGAAGGGGGGAGAGAAAGACAGTGGAGAGATGGGGCAGAGTACTAGCTGAATTTTCTTGTTCAGACGAGCCTGGTACAGGAGCGACCTTACAGGTGAGGCCTTCTGTTGAAAACAGAACATGAACTGCTCGGTGGGCCGCTGTGGTGCTCAGGTACCCTACTAGAAATGTGTGCCTACCCATGCTCTCGGCTCCTGGAATCACCAACAGGGTAGTTTACTGTGGCTGTCCTCTGGCCAAGGTTCATTTGCACAGGCTGCTGGCAACAGAGCTGGTCGTACTTTGGGAGATCTGGCAGTCAGAGATGTCCTCGTGAGGGGACAGGCCTTTTAGAGGGTGTCATGTGCCTCTGCTGAGGGCACAGAAGGGAAGTGGGGCCGAGGCCAGGATCACGCTCTTGGGGTTCTATTTCATCAGCGACACAGAAGGCCCTCCTGTCACATGTGCCAGAGGAGGCGTCAGGGAGCATGTGCATCAGGGGTTCCGGCCTGGGGGCGGGGGGCTCTCAATTTCAAGGTCTCTCACAAGTTCCTCGGGTGGCTGAGACCCATGGCAGGCGCATTGGGATGGCAGCACTGTTGCAGGCTGGGACTCCATCCAGTCTTGCCGTGAACAGCCAGCCGCATGACTCTTCTCTAACCGCCCTCGCCACTTTGTGGAGTTGTTCAAAGACACACAAATGAAAGTTTTAGACAGAACTTCTGACCTGTTCTTGATGTCTAGCTATTGAGTCCACAGCTACTGCTGCTGTAACGTGGAGCAGAGGCCCCTACCAAACGCAACGGACGCCACTGGGGAACGGTGTGGTGACCCAGAAAGCTCACTCCTGTGCTTTCTGCCTTCCCAGGCCTCGAGTCCCTGCGGGACAGCGCCCATTCCACACCGGTGCGATCCTCTTCCCACGGGGACACCTTCTTGCCCCACGTGAGAAGCAGCCGGGCAGACAGCAATGAGCGTGTAGCCGTGATTGCAGACGAGGCCTACAGCCCCGCAGACAGCGTGCTGCCCACCCCTGTGGCCGAGCACAGCCTGGAGCTGATGCTGCTGTCCCGGCAGATCAACGGAGCCACGTGCAGCATCGAGGAGGAGAAGGAGTCTGAGGCCAGCACCCCGACTGCGACAGAGGTGGAGGCCCTCGGAGGCGAGCTGAGGGCCCTGTGTCAGGGGCACAGCGGGCCAGAGCAAGAACAGGTGAATAAGTTTGTTTTAAGTGTCCTCCGTTTGCTCCTTGTGACCATGGGACTCCTCTTTGTTTTGCTCCTTCTCCTGATCATCCTCACTGAGTCTGACCTTGACATTGCTTTTTTCCGAGATATCCGCCAGACCCCCGAGTTTGAACAATTCCACTATCAATACTTTTGTCCCCTCAGGCGATGGTTTGCCTGCAAAATCCGCTCAGTGGTGGGCCTGCTCATTGACACCTGAGAAGGCATGACTCCTCCCAATAACTAGCCAGGTGGACCAAGGAACCCGGCCACCCATTCCCAGCAATGGGACCCATCGCGGAACCATCGGCACACACACCAAGCCCTCTCATGACTCAAAGTCCACCGCAGCCTAGGAGGGTTGTTCCCAGAAGAAAGGGATATAGGCTACTGCCCGGGAAAGAAACTGGGAAAACTCAATTTCTTCAGAGGCTCTTTCAAGAAAGGCTCAGCAGCCCCGTTTCTCATCCTTCAATACGCAGGATAATTTTTGGGTTCGAGTTTTAATTTTTCATAGATGTGTATTATTTTGAAAGTATCCAAATAATAATAAAAAAAATGATTTATTTTACTATACTGATTACTGCAGTAGTTCACCTGGTAGATGGGACACACTGGTTGAAGACTCGAGAGCCGCTGTCTGTCCTCTGTCCCCTGCAGCTTTCTGACTGGTGCCAACGGGTTCGGGGCCCAGCGGGGCAGACCGGGGCTGTGGACAGGCAGGAGTATGAAGGAAACATCTGTGTAGAGTGGTTAAATAGAAAGCTGTTTCTTACGCTGGTCTGAGTTGGATTTTTTCCTTCTGTGTCTTCAAACCTGAGCAGAGCGGGCATCTGCAGGGGACCAGCGCTTGCAGCAGCGGCAGCGGCAGGGTAGGGTAAGTCTGTCCCTTTAGACGAGAGCCTAGTGGGCGCCACTGAGTTTTAATGATTTTTTTTCCCCCTGAAGAATCTCAAGACTTTTCTAATGCTTCTGGGGTGTTGAGTGAAGTGCCGTCAGAACTGTCCCACAGCGTAGGTACCGGGGGCCTGTGCGAAGTCACCTGAGAGCCTGCAGAGCCGCAGAGGCCGGTGCTGCTTCCGCACAGTGCAACCCCCTTCAGAAAAGACTGTTTCAAGCTCTATTTTAACAGCGAAATGTTATTTTCTTATCCGCTCACATTTTGTTTTCACCTTATGAATTAAGAAAATAGAACCCGATGAGTCAAAAGGTGCAAGAGAGAAACGGAGAAAAGCATCAAGGACGAGCGGCAGCCTTGGAAGGGACCAGGAAGCACCCTAAACAGAATCTCTATAAACAGTGCCCACAAGAGACAGGACCGTGGCGGTGGCTGAGACCAGCGCTCACTGTCCGACACTTAGCGTCAGCCACAGCAGCCCAGGTGTACACACTGAGGTGAGCAGCAGGCCCCAGGCCTCTGCACTTCCCACCGCCACTAACAGGAGCGTGTTTTCATCTCAGGGAGGGAATGCTAAGTCATCTGAGGCCCAAGGACTTAAAGGACAGTCAAGAGGCGCGCCTACTCCTGGGACCCAGACAACGGTGGGGCTGAGCAGCCCCAGATGCAGAACAGATTGGGCTGTAGTACATTCAAGCTCCTCTTACTTTGTTGGCTGCTGTGGTAGAACCATGTCCACGTTCAGAATATGGCAGCCATCAAAAACAAAGCAAAACACCCACCCACACACACCAAAAAAAAAAAAAAAAAAAAAAACAACCCAAAACCCCCCCCCACACACACACACAAACACAAGGGTTCGGAGGCTGCCTGGGAGGGCATTTACATAATTTTAATGACAGACGCCGTTCTTACCTAGACCAGAGGTCAGCAAACTTCCTAATATAAAGTTTTGGTTTTGTGGGCCATACTCTGCCGCCCTAGCACACCTCCAGTAATGCATGCGTAAAGAAGCATGGCTCGTTCCAAGAAAGGAGAAGTTGAGCATAGGGCTAAGGCTCTGTAGGCTCAGTGGGTAGAGAACTTGCCTAAAATGCCTAAGGCCCCGGATTTGATTGCTAACACCACGTAAATCCAGGTGTGGTTGCATACACCTGTAATCCCAGCATTCAGCAGGGAGGCAGGAGGATCAGAAGTTCAAGGTTATCCTCAGTTACATAGTAAGTAAAGGGTAGCCTGGGATTCATGAGGCCTTGTCTCAGAACACCAGCCTCCCATGTCCAAAAAATTAAACCTAAAACTGCAGTAGTCTGAGACTGGTCCCCAGATGCAAACCCTGACCAAACAAGACACAGCTGTCAACATGTCAGCACAAGGGCCAGCTTCGATTCCTGTCTCATGTAAGACACCCAGAACCATTTCCCCGTGGGGACTCTGCCGGGTGCTCCACCAACCAACCAGCGTGATGTCTCATCTGATGCCAAGATCAAGTACTGCCACTCTGAACAGCAGTGACTCTTAAGGATGGATCCAGGCCTCTCTCTGATCATTTCCATACCAGCAACAAATCTGGGTAAAATCTAAAACATTTACCACAAGACAAGCTGAGGGGATCCTGGTAAAGACTAGAGATCACTTAAAAAGCAGTGAGCACTGCCACTGCCAACTGTCAACCGCACAGGGGAGGTTCACTTAGCACAGGCCTGATGTCAGAGACCCCTGAGGTGAAGGCTGTTGGGAAACAGGGCTGGTGTGGAGTGGATTTCTCTTCTTATGCAACATAGCAGACTGCCTTTAGAGTAGTGCGCCTACCTCAGTTTGTAGAACCCAGCGTCTATGCAGTGGGTGGGAGCCTGCCTCTCGCCTTTCCGAGCCACGGGAGGCAGGCAGCCTGCCACCGCCTGGTGTGTTTCTTGTGTCGACAGTCCTAACAGTGCAGTGGTCTGTGCCATTTCCAACATGTGACCCGGAACCTTCAGGTTGTGTGTGTGTGTTTGTTTGTTTGTTCTTTTCCTCAAGGCTTATCCCAGAAAATAAGGACAAGAAAAGGCTTCCTCCAACTTGGTTTCCAAATAGTTTTCAATAGCTCAGTAACAAACCCCTTTACTGGTGACTTTTTCAGTATCTTCCCATCATTAAAGTTCCAGTTTTCAGTCTGTTTTGCTGTGTTCTATGTCTCTCCTTTCCTCTCAGAATTCGTTGATCTCACTGTAGAACAGCCGATTTGCATAGCATCGTTGAGCAGAGGAGACGATACTGAATAGTGTCCCGTACCTTTAGGAAGTAGAGGGTAACCTACCTACAAATGTGAATTTCTTAGTTTCATTTAAAGATCTAGAGCTGTTAACCTTTTGTGTGCCAAAATCTAAGTTACGTTTTCCTTCAAAGCAATGTACTTTTTTCTACATATGCAGTGTGTAGTTAGCAGAAAATCATTGGTGCCATGAAGATTATTTTTAAAGTTAATAAATATTTAAATATCGTAAGAGAATGGGTCTTTTTTTAAAAACAAAAATCTTGTAACTGGTTCCACTTTCTCGAGTTCACAATCCACGGAGAGATGAATGGCTCAGTACTTGCAGAGGACCCAGGTTCAGATCTCAGCACCCACATGGTGGCTCAAATGTTCCAGGGGCTCTGATGCCCTTCGCTGACCTCCTGGGCAACAAACATGCAGTGCATGTGTATATATGTGTGTGAATAAATAAAACTGGGAAAAACCCTGTATCAGCTATGAAACAGGACTACCATTTCCTTATGATTATCCATAATTATGAAAACTAAGCCTCCAATACTTAATTTCGTTTGTTTTTAGATGGGTTCCCACTGGCTGGCCTGGAATCCACTAGGTAGACTGAACTACCTTTGAACTCGGAGATCTGCCTGTCTCTGCCTCCCGGGTGATGGGATTAAGGTCGTGGGCCACCACACTTAATTCTTAGATTTTTTTTTCACCTTTGTTTTAATCTTATGTTAAGAGAGTTCTGTATGTACGTCTGGATACCACGTGTATGCGGTCCCTGCAGAGACCAGAACTCGGCACTGGATCCCCTGGAACTGGAGTCCAGCGTGACTGTGAGCCACCATGTAGGTGCTGGGGATCAAACTGGGGTCATTTGAAAGAGCAGCCAGTGCTCTTAACTGCTGAGCCATTTCTAGCCTTTAGATTCTTAACTATAAAGAAGATTACTCGAGAAATTATTGAAAGAAAATTCGTTATCATTTTATTTGTGACGTATAATTGAGTATTCCCTCTTACAATCCAAACATACTGCCTAAACTCTAAGCCTTTCAGAAGTAACTTTGACAAACAGCAATGGAAAAGGTTGACTACACTGTGACACCAGGCCACCGATTCAGCAGAATATACATAAACATATACCCTATATGTGTGCATATGGAACTAAGTTTTCTTTTTAAATACTCTACTTAAAAAATAAAAACATCTGAATTGTTTTTTTCTGTGCTTTATTAATATGGGGGCAAGGGAAGGTGAGCCAGGCTGGCCTTGAACTCTGGATTCTCTGGCTTCTGCCTCTCAAATGCTGGGGTTACTAATTTCATGTGAAAAACTACAAGCCTTGCCTGGAGCCCAGTCTGTACACAGTGAAACATGAGAATATAGTTAAAGATGCAAGTTCAAACACAGTGCAGTCCTGACCCATTCCAGGAGCTTCCCAGAGAAAGCAGACGGCAGAGCTCTAAGTGTGCAGGCTCGAGCCCCAGTGGAATTTTGAGTGACACTGAACTGAGAAACATGGATCCCCAAAGAGGTTCTTAGCTTACCAAACTAAGTTCTGGCTGGGCACGGTAGTACAAACCTATGGAATTAGTACTTGGGAAAGTGAGACTGAAGTTCAAGGGTAGCCTGGGCTTCATAGGGAGGTCCAGTCAGCAACAAAGCAAAACACATTAAGTTTCAGAGCGGGGGTATTTGAGTCAATAGCAGACTATGTGCCCAGCAGGTGTCCCTGGGGTCCAATAATGTTTCATCATTAGACTTAGAGGACCTTTTAGGACCTATTCCAGTGTAAGAAATAAATATTCACCCCAAACTAAATAAATCACGGATCTACAGATCACTACTGCAGCGGATAGTCTCCCATTATATCCCAGAGAGTTAATCACAGCCGTTCAAAGCTTTCTAATTTGTTAGGATTTCTCAGAATGCAGCCTAATGGAAAGTGCTGAGCGATGCTGAGCTGAGCGCAGTGGTCCACGCCTGGGGTTTTGGCACTTAATAGGTAGAGGCAAGAGGCTCATGAGTTCCAGGTCATTCCTGACTACAGAGTCTGAGCTGGACTACAAATTACCCTGTCTCAATCAAGCAGAGAGTGCTGAAAGCATCCCAATTTCTGCTCCAGGTCCCCACCTCATCCTCTAGAGATGGCCTTAAAGTTCCTCCCCTGCTAATCCCACATTCTGCACAGAGGTCTCACCGAGAAAGCAATGTCATATTTGCTAAATATAACAAATAACTCAACAAATGCACTACACCGAGTGAGAGAAATCTCGAGGTTCTTTAGCCACAGAACAATTTTCAGCAATTTGTTGAACCTACCCAGTAGCTCAGAGGCTTTCTTGGTGCATAAAAACATGCACCCTCCCGCTGGAATTACCTCCAGCCAGGATATAGCGAGTAGGATGCATCGCGCTGAGGGAACACACAGATACAAGACATTCTCCCAGAAGAGAATACACGGTCTCTCCCGTCTCATGGAAGACCTCCACCCGCCGGGGGTGGGCCATGCTACCAACTATGAAGCAATCTTCTTGTTTAGGGTCCCACACAGCCTGGAACCTCGTTAGCCATCTCCCAGTGATTGTGTTGTGCCTAGTAGGGAAAAACAAAACAGTATTTACTTTTAAGTGTTAAATAAGTCAAAGTAGCATAGAGCACAAGGCAAAAAAGCCCAAGATCCAGTGTAGAAACGATTCCTGACTCCTGCCTCACCTTCCAACCTTCAGCTTGTGCTCAGAACGGAGTGGCTCTGGACCTATGGAATCGGTACATTTTCTGGGACTGGAGAGTTGGCTCTGGTCAAAAGCACTTACTGGTTTGGTTCCTAGGACCCATTCGATGATTCATAACCATCCATAACTCCATTTCCAAGGGACCCAATGCCCTCTTCTGACCTCAGCAGGCACCAGGCACACACACGGTACGTACATACACATACAGGCAAAAGACTCATAAGTGCAAAAAAAAAATGTTTTTAAACAAGAGATTTTACTTTTCTTTTTGAGACCAGGGCCTTATGTAGCCCAGGCTAACCTTGAAGTCAGGATATAGCAAAGAACGACCTTACACTTCTGCTCCCCCTGCCTCCATGTGCCAGGTAACAAGATTACAGGCATATACCACACTTCACCCCTTTCTGCAGTTCTGCGAATCAAACATAGGTTTCATGCTTGTTAGGCAATTGCTCTACTAACTGAGCTACACCACCAGCCCTAAAATAATTCCTTTCCGGCTCACCATTCCACAAACGCAAAAGAAAACGTATTTTATACTATGAACAAGTATATACCAACAAACTGAATAACCTGGAAGAAATAGACAAGCTTCTAGAACACAACTTGCCAAGACTAACCCTGAAGAATTAAAAGATAGGAATCCATTTATAACTAGTTAAGGGCATTCACACACATACACACAGGGGAGAGGGCAGGAGATCTGAGAATAAGCTTCCATAGTATCAGTTTTTCTTTTCCTGGTTGTTTGAGACGGGGATCTCACTCTGTAGCCTGGAAATTATTATGCAGCTCAGTCTCACCTCCAACTTGTAGCAATCCTTCTGCCTGAGCCTTCCAAGTGCTGAGACTACCTGTGTGCCCCTCCACACCCAGCTTCCTTAATGAACACTGACACAGTCTCTTCAATGTGGGGTGTGGCTTATTGGTAGAGTGCTTATCTATCGCACACAAAGTCCTGGGTTCAAGCCCCTGCACCTCATAAACGAGATTTGGTTGGGAAAGTGGAGGCAGGACAATTGAGAGTTCAAGGTCATCCTCAGGTACAAAGCAAGTTCCAGGCCAACCTAGAATTGACTCCTTCCTCAGAAAAACAAAAAGATAAAAAAATAAAAAATGAACCAAATGCATAGCATAGTGAAGACTTACACACCATGGTCAGGAGGAGACAAAGATGGTTCGCCACACCAGCGCAACCAGTGCGCTATGCCATGTTAACAAAGCGAGGAGCGGCTGTGCGACCATCACAACCGATGCTAAGTGAGTCTGACAGCCCTTCATGATACACCCACCCAGCAAACTGGGATCAGGGAGGCGAGCCCAATACAACGAACACCACGCAAGAAACCCCCGACGCACCAGAATGACGAAGACTGAAAACTTTCCCTCCAGGATCAAGAATAAGGTAAGGCTGTCCGCTCACCACTTACAGTGAACTTGATGCCAAAGCCCGATCATTTAGACAGAGGAGGGAGGGGGGAGGGGAGGAGGGAAGGAAGAGAAACTTTCTGCTGAAAACTCACTCGATCACATTCATAAAAAAAAAAAAAAATCATAAAAGATTTCACACGTTAAAAAATCTACTTAACATAATTTCAAGCAAGGTTCCAAGCACAGGGGCTGGGAAGATGGGTCAGGTCATAAAGTTCTTGCCACATCATTGTAAGAACCTGAGCTCAATCACAAGAACCTATTTAAAAAAAAAAAAAAAAAAAGAACTGGTCATGGTAGTATGGGCACACTCATAACGCCAGTACTAAGGAACTGGAAATGGGGGGACCCCTGGGGCTCACTGGCCAGCCAGCCTAGTCAAAACTGTGAGCCCCCAGTGCTACTGACAGACCCTGTCTCAAAACGTAAAGTAGCAGCTCCTGCAGAATAACACCTAAAGCTGACCTTGGGTTCCCACATGGTACAGGTGGGAGCCTCAGCTACTGAGGAAGATCAGATCACTTTATTCCGTGACCGAAAAACAGCTTACACTTCCACGTCACGGTTCATCACCAATGAAGTCAGGAGCCCAAGCAGGAGAGGAACCTGGAGGCAGACGCTGATGCAGAGGCCATGGAGGAGTGCTGCTTACTGGCTTGCTCAGCCTGCCTTACTATAGAACCCAGGACTACCAGCTCAGGGATGGCACCGCCCACAGTGGGCTGGGCCCTCGTGCATTGATCACTAATTGAGACAATGCCTTACAGCTGGATCTCATGGAGGCCTTTCCTCATCTGAGGCTCCTTTCTCTCTGATGACCCTAGCTTGTGCCAAGTTGATACACAAAACTAGCCAGTACAGCAGGCTGAAAGGATTGCTCCTGTGTAAAAGCGTGACTGGAAGACAATGCCTGGGAACAGTTACATTCAGGAACCCGGGGTTTCATGTCGAGACACAAGTCTACTTCTCCGTGGTTGTGTGTCCCGCTGCTAGTGAGATGTTACAGTCTTGAGTAAAATGCGCTCCGGTTCCTGTGCTTGCACACGTGGTCCCCAGCTGGTGGTACCTGTGAGCAGCTGCGGATCCTTTAGCGTGTGAGGCCTATCTAGAAAAAGTAGTTTACTGGAGTTTAGCCCTTGAGGGTTATAGCCAAACAGATCTTCCTGTTTTTCTCGTGTCGCTGAGATGTGAGGACGAAAGGGATCTCGGCTGCAAACTCTCAGCACAGAGCCTCCCGCTGCCATAGAGCTGCCCATCACACCGCACACACCACAGACAGATAACACATACATGCAGAATTTAAAATAAAAGTAAACCTTTGCCAAATATTAGAAGCTACAGACGTGTGGTTTCATTCTAGCATACACCTTTAAGCTCAGCACTCAGGAGGCAGCCTGGTCTACAGACAGAGTTCCAAGGCAGCCAGGGTTAGATACATATCAACAGATAAACAAAGAAAACGCTCATACACAGAGGAAAGCTATTCAGCCTTAATAAAAGAAATCCTGTCACTGTGACAAGTATCTGTGACAAAACAAAATGAAATGGGCAAAGTCAATGACAAAGGACACAAATATGCTTCAGTAGAGCCTGAAAACTGATACTGCTGTAACAACACTACAGCTCACACCCCAAACTGCAAAATGATAAAAAACATTGTGTAGAGAAAAGGCAGAGAGTAAGGAATAAAGTCAGACATCAACTGGCACACATTCAAAACAGCGGGTTCAAGGTGAAGGAGGGCAGCCAGAAGCACGAGGCAGAAAGGTGAGGGAGCCACAGATGCCCAGAAAGAACAGGCTCAGCCTGACCGGACGCCCACCAAGGAGTCACAGTTGTCTCAGTTGTTAAGTGTAACTCAAGTCACAGCAGAGACCTTAATTTTGACCAAAAAGAACCTTCGAGAGCACATGGCAACTGCGAGCTGGGCCACGGAGACCCAGAAGCAAGAGCTCCTCTGGACAGGACTGGTAGGGGCCTGCTCACACAGCACCACACAAGCAGGACTGCAGCCTCCCCGACAGGTGTCACGTGTGCCCTCTATCTACTGCTCTGCCCACAGCAGTCCAGGACCTAGGGATTCCGAGTATGGAAGCCTACCTGATGGTGGTGAGGAGAGGAATCTGGGAAGATATGGAGCTGCTGTCAAAGACTCTGCAAGACAAACGTTGGGAACAGTTACATAGTTACGTTACTGAAATGCTCAAGTTTTCTGAAACAGCATAAGTGTGTTTAAGATGACTGATGGTTCACAGTAGGAAATGTAACTGTGACTGTACATGGGATCATATTCTAACCTCAAGTTCGTGGACTACTAAAATTCAGCCTGTATTCTAAGCTTAGTGCAGAAATATTTTAAACACTATAATTAAAAAAAAATTTTTTTTCCCTTAAGACAGTATCTCACAGCCAGGCAGTGGTGGCACACGCCTTTAACCTCAGAGCTGGGAAGTCCAGGCAGACGCATCTCTGAGTTTGAGGCAAGCCTGGTCTACATAACGAGTTCTAGGACTGCACAGAGAAACCCTGTCTGGAAAAACAAAACAAAACAGTAGCTCATGTTGCAGGCCTAGAACTGTTATCTTCCTCCTGAGAGGCCCCCTGAGAGCGGGACTCTCAGGCAGGCTCCACCACACCAGCTTGGCATGTGCACCCTAAAACCATATTCAGATTCACAAACATGCCACCAAATGTAAAGGCTGTGGTATGAGAATGCACATACACGCTGAGGGCATGCACGTAAAAGCAGCACTCTTCCTGACTCTTCAGGTGATAGCCCGATAGTGTAGATTCCAAACTGCTGAACAGACTGATGGCCAGCCTGTGAGTGGAGGGACGCAGAATCCTCCACTGGGTACCATGGCAGAAGGAAGCCAATCTCAGCATCACACCGCCCCTCTGCGCCCAGCTGGTCCACAGCAATCTCTGGCCTGGTTTGATCATTAAAAAGCTTAATTACCAGAGGTTACTACAGTGGCACACACTCTAGAGTGTAAATGAATAAAAAGGGATAAAAAGGTGTTGAGACACGGGAAACTATGCGGGTGGAAGAGGGACGGGCTGCCACGCCCTCACGACAAACACTGACTTCATCTGGTGATGCTCATACACCCTGCCAGACACCAACACGGGCACCTGCAGGTCACATGATCACCATCCTTGAGCCCCACCCATGGGATACAGTCACTAGATGGTTGCTGAAAAAAAGAATTCTAACTCTTAAAGAGCTTGCAAATTTGAAGCAAAATTGAGCATTCTTGAAGAGAACAGAATCATTTTCCCTGTATTTGCATTAACTGTCTTCACATCTTTTTTCTGAATGGATCCTCCTGCCTCAACCGGTCAAGAAACTGGGACTACAAAAGCCTCCTCGTGTTTCTTTAGCTTGACATTTCTAAGTTCAACTGATTTAAATCAGAGTGGGGGAGGTAGCTATAGAAAAGTCCCAAACCCTAAAATAACACGTTATTAGATTATGCAGAAGCATCATTTTTTTCCTGTTTTCTACATGCCTGAAGTATGAGGCTCTGCGATTTCCATTTAACACACTATTAAGGTAGATCTGAAACACACCTGTAACCCCAGTACTCAGAAGGCCAAGAGAGCAGGATCGCAAGTTCAAGGCCAGCCTGGAATACACAGTGAGACATGGGAGGACACTGGTAATTCCACAGCAACAGCAGTAAACATAACTTCTAGTCACAGGCCCCACTGCTGCCGTCTCTAAACTTAGATTCCCCTAAACACGTATTTCTGTCTTCTTAGTTTACCTCAGCTTACAGTCAGCACACGTGGTCACCACTCTGTTACCAGTAACAGGTGAAAAGTACGCAGAGGCAATGCTCTTCGAGTGTCCAGTCGGGGAGAGCAGAGGCTGGCTCCTCCTGGAGTTCAGGCACCTCACATCATAAATATGAATATCCCTGGGACAGGAAGAGAAACCATCAGTACAGCCCATGCCATGAGCCCACAGAGCAGGGCTAAGCCTAGGGCAGACACACAGACGCCTGCCACATTAAGAACATTTAAGACAAAACCAGATCCAGACACAGAGATTAGTTCCCAGTGGTTTTTCAGTATCTCCAAGAAAGACGGGAACATGAGCCAAGTTATAGGTCACATACAACTTTGGTCTGTTTATCTCACTTTTAAGTTTTCTTCTCATAAAAGTAGAGGTAAACACACACAGTGCCAAAGGGACAGACTTTCAACAGTTCTCTATTTATTAAACCCAAAGAATTCCTATTAAAGAGCAATTACGCTTACGACATTTCTATCAGTGTGAATGACATGTACTTGTCTTCTGTAGAGCACAAAAGTCAAATATAGGTTCAGTGTGGTGGTGCATGCTTAGAAGGCAGAGCCAGGTGGATCTCTGAGTTCCAGGCTAGCCAGGGCTACAAAGTGAGATCTTGTCTCAAGAGAAAAGAGAGAAAGAGAGAGAGGGAGAGAGAGAGAGAAAGTCAGTTAAGGGTCTGAGAAACTAAACTAAATCACATAGTTGTGACATGAAAAGGATTAAATCCTAAAATTGTCTGAAGAGCGTATCTCAAGCCTGGCATGGTAACAAACCTCTAAACCCTGAAAAGGTGAGGCAGAAGGTTAGTACGATTTCAAACCAGCCTGGCATAACAAGTGGGTCCATGTCTCAAAACAAACAAACAAACAAACAAACAAATATACAAATGCAGGCAAAAACAAGCATACCTCAATCCTGCTGTGATAAAATACTGTCTGGATACTGGGTGGACATGAACAGTTCGTATTTTTCCCAAAGAGGAGTTAAAAAACTGCTCATAGGAAGTTCCAGGTGTCCGTCTATCTACCAGTGACAAATGTCCATCCCAGTGTCCCACTAACAGGGTGGAGGCATCGTCGGCCAAGAAGTCAAAGGAGGAGAGGGAATTTGTCTCGTTCCTGTACACCTGGGAAAGAGGCAGCAATCCATCAAAACAGAGGCTGGGGCGGCGGTTCAGAGGGTTACAGTGCTCACCACATAGCTGTGGTCAGCCCCTGGAACCACAGAAGAAAATGGCGAGGAGGCACCCCTACCACGGCAGCCCGGGGAGAAGAAGCTCAGGCAGGCGGCCTGGTGTGTCGGCAAAGCAGACAGGCAGAGGGACTTTAGAGTGACAGCAACACCTGAGCCCCGCCGAGCTATCCTCGCGCCTCTATACGTAGCCTAGGCTGGCCTTGAACTCCTGATCCTCTTGCATCCTCAACCCAAGTGCTGGGATTATATAACGCTCACTTAAATAACCAATGCTAAATCCCTAGTAAAGCCAGGCGTGGTGGCACACAATCCCAGCAGGCGGTTCTCTGTGAGTTTGAGGCCAGCCTGGTCTACAAAGCGAGTCCAAAGAGCGCTGTCTTGTGGGGGGAAAATCCCTAGTAAAGGAGCTATGGGACACTTTACCAAATAATGTCATTGACCGTTTTGTCATCCACACAGGAAATACAAAGCAAAATGAAAACACGGAGGCTTGTCCAAATCAAATGGCCCATCAGTCCACATCAGGCTATATCCCAAACTCTTAAACCTGAAAAACCCTCAGTTCCAAATCTATTCTGTGAAACCTATCAGAAAAACAAACGACTCTGGCTTCCATCTAACTATAATTATCTTTTTAAAGATTTATTTTGTGCATGAGTGCTCTGTCTTCATGTACACCTGCACGTCAGAAGACGGCATCAGATCCCTGTACGGATGGTTGTGGGGCACCACGTGGTTGCTGGGGATTGGACACAGGACCTCTAGAAGAGCAGACAGTGCTCTGAACTGCTGAGACATCCCGCCAGCCCTAAACGATATCTTAATAGAAGTAGTTTTGCATCCATGTGAAGTCTAAGGTACACATCTGGATATTCAAGTATAACCATCGTTGATGAAGAATAAACAGATTAAAATTCTTGTTTTGTTTTTTGTCTGTTTGTTTTTGAAAGATGGTACCCCAGGCTGGCCTCAATCTCAAGATACATAGCTAAGGAGGACCTTAACTTCTCTTCCTCCTGACCCCTCTTCTCAAGTGCTGAGATTACTCGCACAGGCCACTATGCCAGTGTATGTAGTTTTGGATGGAACCCAAGGCCCTGCGCCTGCTGGGTAGGGGCTTTACCAACTGAGCTACATCCCGAGCACAGATTAAAATTCTTGACAGTTAAAGTTCTATCAAAATGCTTCATTTTCAAAGCTGGGCATGGCAACTCACACCTCACTTGTGAGGCAGAAGCAGGTGGATGGATCTTCATGGTGAGTTCCAGGACAGCCAGAGCTACATAGTGAGAGCCTGTCTCAAAAACACCAAAAAAGAAAAAAAAAATGATGAAAATAATTCTGGTTTCACTGAGAGGTAAGTTGTATGCTACAATGATATATGTAATGGCAAACGGGGCCTGGAAGCATGAGCCTGTCATCACAAACTTGGGAGACTTAGACAGGAGAGTCACAAGCCTAGGCCAACCTACCGTACATGGCCAGGCTCTGTCTCAAAAAGACAAACACAAACTTAACTATCTTCATTATTTAAGTTAAAAACAACAACAACAACAAAACAGCAAAAAGAAAAGCTTCCCCAGCTTATAAAAATAGATAATCCAGGAACTGAGTGAAAAACAAATGGGAAACAACAGTCCTTCCATACCATGGTGGTTACTGGAGCAATTGTTTTAAAGCACTTTTAAACTGCTTATGTGCACGTGTGTACATGCTGGAGGCAGAGGCCTTGCTCATGTGCTGCCATCTTGTTTTCTGAGAGTCTCTCATTTGCCTGGAGCTCATCAAGAAGGCTGGGCTGCCCCGCATACATGCAGGTGTGCCGCTTGGTCTTCGTGTGGGTCCCCTAACAACTGGAGCGGGGACTGTCTCCCGCTCTGTTGCCTGTCTTTGGACCCCATAGCTAGGCTGCCCTGTCTAGCCTCAGTGGCAGAGGATGCGCTTAGTCTTGCTGAGACTTGATGTGCTAAGGGTGGGTTGGGCCTCCCCTTCCCAGAGCAGAGATTGAGGGTGAGGCTGGGATGAGAGGAGGGAGGGGCCTTCCATCAAACTATGAAAAACCAAAAAAAACCGCTAGGTGGGCTGGGGGCCAACCCAGGGATCTCCCTGCTTGTCTCTGCTTCCCTGGCACTTGGAAGTGCATGCCACCATGAACGGAGAGGTTTGTTTTTCAAAGATGTTATCTATTTTATCTCAAAACAACAACAAAGACTTATTTAGTTTTATGTCTGGGGGTTTTGCTTGCATGTATGTATGGATACCACATGCATGCTTGGTGTCCAAGGTTGTCAGAAGAGAGTGTCAAAAGGTCTTGGAACTGGAGGTACAGATGGTTGTGAGCTACCATATGGGCACCGGGAACTGAACCCGGGTCTTAACCACTGAGCCACCTCTCCGGCCCTGCAGAGCCGTTTTTTGTGTGGATCCTGGTGACTGAACTCAGGTCCTCAGGGTTTGTACGGCAAGCACCTTAACAAGTGAACTACTTCTAAAATGCTTTTAAAAATAGTTAGGGCTTTAATCCCAGCACTCGGGGAGGCAGAGGCAGAAGGATCTCTATGAATTCAAGGCCAACATGGTCTACACAGTGAATTCCAGACAGCCAGGACTACACAGAAAAATCTTGTCTCAAAACACAAAAAGTCTAAGTGTCCAGATTCCTTCAACAGTTCTTTGTTTTGTTGTTTTTGTTTGTTTGTTTGTTTTCCCTTTTCCGCCATGCTGGAAATCAAACACAGGGCTATATCCATGTTAGGCAAGCACTGTATCACTGAGCTAAAACTCCAAATATTCTCACACAGACACATATTTCATCTAACTAGCATGAGCTAAACAGCCTGGGAAAAAGCTTTATCCTCGAGAGGTGGTCAAAAATAAAACCCTTTTGGTGTCTGTTTCTTGCCAGAGGACAAAATATCACTAAGATCTCTTGTCAGCTCTGACTCTGCCGGGTCAAGACAACCGAATCTCTTCCCCATCCACGTTATGTTAACCTGTGCTGGGAGGCCAGAGGTGGGAGTGTGGCTCAGTTGGCAGCGTATTTACCAGGGTGGGTAAATCCTTGGTTTTGATCCTCAGCGCTGCATAAGCCAGGCATCATAGTGCACACCTACATAATCACAGCATTTGAGAGATGGGGCAAGAGGATCAAAGGGTCAAGGTCATTCCTGTCTACATAAGGAGTTTTAGGCCAGCAAGGATATACATATGAGATTTTTTTTTTTTTTAAATGGAGTTTGGCTCACTAGAACTCCTATCCACCATGTTCCTTAGCCTTAGAGTCAATCTCTAGCACAAGAAAAAAAAAGTTAAATCTTAACTGGAAAACTACAGAAAATCCTGTTTCATTTTATGCTGTTTATATATTGATATAGAGCAAAGATTTGGGGTATTCATAATGTATTGGGTGCCTATAAACAAAAAATATATGCTAGTATTTTTTTTTTTCCAAAACAACCATGTAAAAGGATTAAGCTTAGAAACAATACCCTTTTTTTTTTTTTTTTGGTATTTCAAGACAGGGTTTCTCTGTGAAGCCCAGACTGTCCTAGAACTCACTCTGAAGACCAGGCTGGCCTTTACCTCACAGGCAGAGATCCACCTGTCTCTGCCTCCCCAGTACTGGAAATAACAGCATGTGCCACCACTGCCCAGCTTTTAAAAATAAAACAATTATATAACAAGAGTATGGTGGCATGTGCCCATACTATAGTGCCAGGTATTCTGGGGCAGAGGCAGGCGGCTCACCAATTGGTTCAAAGCCAGTCCTGGCTTCTTAGTGAGATCCTGCCTCAAAAGAAAAAAAAAAAGAAAACTTTCTTAGGAACACTAATTCAATTTAGTTTTCACGGCAGCTCTGTAAGGAGCACACTATGACTATTCCATTTCAGAACTGAGGGGACTGAGGCACACAAGCTAAGTAACTTACGAAGGTCACACAACTGGTACCAGCCTGAGACTTGACCCTAAGGTGTGCCACACTTGTCTCAATCTGACTGACACATGAATCGCTTGTGGGGCGTGCACGAAGTAATCCAGAGCATCGTCTAGTGTCAGGCTGTAAACACATTAACACTTACCTCTTCAAAAACGGCGCTGGAAAAGTCCCCACATCGCAGTGTGCCATCATAGCTCAGGGACAGAAGGTGGGCTGGATTGCTGGGTGAGAAGTACAGACAGCTGACAGGCTGACTGTGAGGACAGAAGGCATACACTCCATCTTCATCTTCGCCCTGCTGGCTCTGTAAGAAAGTTGAGGGTGAGGGAAACGACGAACTAGTGAGAAGTTCTGTCAACCCTTTCCATTTCCTGCTTGCTCTTACATTCATGGCCTCTTATTTCTTTCACTTGTGTGTATCTTCCTAAACAATCTGCTCAGTTCATATGATATTCCTTTTCTGTCTGTGACTTCAAAGATGGCTACTTGCTATTGAATAACCCATACGTTTTTGCCAAAACATTTTTTAAATTTTATTTCATTTTTTATGTGCATGCATGTTTTGCCCGCACTATGCATGTGCACTAGGTGCATGCCTGATGTCCTCCAAGGTCAAAAGAGGGTAACAGACTCCCTGAGATCGTAGTTATGGGTGGCTATGAGGCGCCTCAGGGGTGCTGGGAATTAAGCTCTGCAAAGCCCTCTGTAAGAGCAGCAGATGGTTTTGATTGCTGAGTCAACTCTCCGGCTCTTTTTTCTTTCCTTTCCTTTTCTTTTCTCTTTTTTCTTTTTTTCTTTTCCTTTCCTTTCTTTCTTTCTCTTTCTTTTTTCTTTCTCTCTCTTTCTTTCTTTTTGAGATGGTGTCTTGCCTGGACCACCCCCACAGCTCACATGGTCCTCCTGTCTCAACCTCCTGAGCAGCATCCAAACCATCTGAGCACAGAGACCCCAAACCAACAACTTTGTACTGAAATCTGTTGCTTCCCATTATTCCATTTAACAATGGAATAATTGTAACCCAGTCACGCTGATATCACATGTCCAGCTTTTGGCAACTATCAAACTGGTTTCTTCTTCTTTGTTTTGTTTCTACGACTTATTTCACAGCCGGGCAGAGTGGCTCATGCCTTTAGTTTCAGCTTCCTGCATGCTAGGCAAATGCTTTACCAACTGAGCCATACTCCCGACCTTTATTTTATTTTTGCCAAGTAACTTTTTTTTCCCAAACACATGAGTCTGGAATTTCTTTTGATTTTACATATATAAGACTACATCCTATTTTTGATTTGTTCACCAAATTGATGTCTAAAATGATTTTCTAACTGAATTAAAATGGAGGGGCTGGGGATGAAGCTCAGTTAGTGAGAGGCTTGTGTGCTTGCCTAACAAAATCCTGGGTTTGGGCTTAGGCAAGAAGTAAGCTGGGCTGAGCGGTACAAACTGCAATTCCCAGCACTGGAGAGGTGGAGGCAAGAACCTCTGATGGGAGGACAGTCTGGGCTCTATTTAAAGAGAGAGAGAGAAAGGAAACATATCTAACATGTCATTCACCACCATGAGCTCGAGGCCAGTCTCGAGTACATGAGATCTGTCTCAGAAATACAGAAATTGCATTTATAAATACACAAACAAATGGGAGCTGAGGATGCAGCTCAGTTGATGGAGCACCTGCTTAGTACACAAAACGCCCTGGATTCAATCCCTAGCACGGTAGGTTGTCCTCTATCTCTAGACACACACGAATTGTTTCACAAATGTCCTGATACGTAGACATATACACATAAACACACAAACACAGAATTTTAAAAATAAAACAGATGAGAGAGATGACTCAGTGGTTAGGAACTCTTCCAGAGGATTCAGGTCAATTCCCAGCACCCAGACGTCAGCTCACAACCATCTGTAACTCCAGTCCCAGGGGACCCAACACCCTCTTCTGGCTTCTGTAGGCACCAGGCATGGTATATAGTACACCCAATACACACGCAAAAAAAAATTATATATATATATATATATATATGTGTATATATATATATACACACATATATAAATTCTTAAATTAAAAAGAACTTTCAGCAGGGCACAGTGTCACACCTTCAATCCTAGAACCTGAGAGGCAAAGACAGGGAGAACTCTGTGATTTCAAGGCCTGTCTGGTCTATGTAACTGTCTCAAAAAACCCACACAGCTAAGAAAACAATTCAACATAGGATTCAGATCACAGCAGACCCTATTTTGAACATAATTTAAAAACTTAAGACTCTTCATGGAGGTTTTCATATATATATTTAATGGATCCTGCCAGATAATTTATGTCCAGATGGCTAAAGATATTCAAGCTAAAAATGTTAACGCTCTGTAAAACAAATTTAAATTCTGCCAGATTTCTAAAATTTGGAATCATAAAGCACAAGACCACAAACCTCAAGCAACATTTATAAATAAATGTTCTAGGCTATTCTCTTTACGACATTCCCTTCAGGCAGATTTAGATAATCTTCCAAAAGGTAGTATCAACTTACCAAATCCCAAAGTCCGATTTGCCCAGACTTGGCCCCTGCTGCTACCAGGGTTCTCACTTCTGATGGGTGGATGGCCACAGAGGAGATGGCCCCTTTGGTCACTTTACGAACCGTAGCCTCACTGACGACCATACCACTTAAATAGGCTTTGTAGCTAAGATTGGTAAGTTAAAAATAAAAACAATTTCAAAAATAACTTAAAAAAGAAAAGGGACAGTTAGTAAATACTGGCCAATATCCAACTTCCAGACAACCAAAGAAACCACATTAACCTAGATAATTATTTTCCAATTATAAAATTACCCTTAATAAGTTTAGTGATGAAAGTGGGGAAAAGTGCACTCTAGGAAATGTACAAACACCCATGAAAAAGGCACTATGCGGAACTGTATATAGGTCAGAACATAAGTAAAATGTGAATTCCTTTATTCAACACAGTATTTGCCATATGCCAAGCAACACTGGGGTTGAGATAAAGTATCTTCATAAAGCCTACACCCAGGTTCAGGCCAGGCCTATTACTGAAGGCTGCAATCTTAGCTACTTGGGAAGTGACGACTGCAAAGCTAAGGCCTGACTGCATGCAGGCTTTAATAATTTTCAACTTGACACAATTTAGAATCACTTGTGAAGACAGACCATCTAAGATCTAGCTGGCTTGTCTATGGAAAATTATCCTGATTAATTGAGGTAGGACGATCCACCCACTGATTAGAACTATTCTGTAGGCAAGGGAGGGAAGCCTGAACTGTGTAAAAGTGGGGAAGAGGCAGAGTGTAATGATTCACAACTGGACAACTTGGTGATGCTTTACCTCAAACATATACAATAGGGGGCTGGAGAGCTGGCTCAGAGGTTAAGGGCAGCTGCTACTCTTCCAGAGGACCCAGGTTCGGTTCCTAGCACCCACACGGCAGCTTACAATCAGTCCCAAGGGATCCAGCACTCTCTCCTGGCCTCTAGGCTCCAGACACATGCAGTGTGTCCTCATGTACATGCAGGCAAACATTCATACAAGTAAGATAAATGCTTTAAAAGACACAGAGCCAGGTGTGGTGATACACACCTCTAATCTCAGCACTCAGACGAGGCAAAGGCAGATAGAACTCTGTGAGTTTGAGACCAGCCAGAATATAATGTGAGAGCCTGTCTCCAAAAAAGGTAAATAAATTCATTAATATGCATGTATGCACATAAATACCAGGGATGACATTTTCACTACTAGCGAGGTTTCCTATAATCGTATTCATTAAAGCTTTTATACTGCAAGCATATCAAAAAGTATAAAACAAAGGCCAGGAATTCTAACTTACCTTTTAACGCTGGATAGGCCCTTCTTGGTCTTCTCATTACTCATCTGCAACAGTGGAAAAGACCAAAGGACTAAGTTAATATGCATACATGGACTTTGCTTAGTAGGTGATTTTAAAAGCTGTGTGCCATCCCCAGCCATACCCTGCTCATCTCTGCCCATGTCTTCAAAGATGCTTTCAACAGTTCACTGCTGTCATCTTGGTTTTCAGGAATCATTTCTAAGGGTCCAGGAGGTAACAAAGGCTAGCAAAAAGAAAAAGCAAAATGTTGTTTGTCCTAGAATAGGAACTGAGGAAGGTCCAGGAGTTCTGCCCCCATTTTCACTACTCTCCTTTCAACATCATCTTCGGCACATCATAGGCATTCAAACGGCTGGCTGCTCACACAGTGTAATCCCAGCACCCAGGAAGCTGAGGCAGGGGGATCCTGAGTTTCAGGACACCTCAGTCATACAGTGATACCCTAGGAAAAAGTTCTTCCACAGTTCATGCCAAGGCCCGAGATGTACCTCACTTGGCAGACAGAATGCTTGCCTGGCAGCATAACATGGCAGCCACTGTGGATTACACCCCTAACCCCAGCACTGGGAAGTAGAAGCAGGATCAGCAACTCAAGGTCACCATGAACTACTTGGACTGTAAGAGTTCCAGCTTGAGGGGGGAAAACAAACTTTATCAAGGGATCCTCTTCATTTTTATTCTGTGTATGTGATGTATTGTATAACATGTGTTCGTGCGAATTAACATGCACAGACACCACATCACACATGTAGATATATGTAGAAGTTGGACAGTCTTGGTCCCCCCTTCCATTGCTTGCTGCTACATACTCAAGGCCAGCTGCCCATCTCACCATGGAATTAAATCATAGTGCCACACCCAGCTCTACATGGTTCTGGGAACTCACACTTGCCCCACTGAGCCAGCTCCTCAGCCCAATCCTCATCATGCTCATATGTTACTAGTAATTGCTGCCACTTATTATTTACCAACCCTTAATATAAAGAACTCTGGGTCCTATTTAATTTCCTCCTTACAACACTCTTTTACTATTTCCTTTCCTTTTTATTCTAGGCACGCTCCTACTGTCTTAGCTCAGGCTAGCCTGGAACTAAGAAAGCCAGCTCTCCTCAAACTTGTGACACTCCACCTACATTAGCCTCCCAAACGCAACCCACCACACACCATCTTTTAAATGTGGAAACTGAAGCTCATGAAGAGCAAGTGATTTGTCTATAACTGGTTTCCTGCAGAAATACAGAGATACCTGGAGTTAACAGCTCTAAAGCTTTATTAAACCAAACAACAGCCAAGCATTAAGTCAATAAAACTGAACAAAACAAAGCAGCACCATGCTAATTTCAGATACCTCACGTTTTTCAGTATTTGATTACACTAGACATATCATATCTGCACTTTTTCTTACAATTCCTTCCTCTTCTAATGCTGGTTCTGCTGATGGTGAGGAAATTCCCAACGGCTCCACTTTCAACAACCGCATGGACCGGCGACATCCGATCTCGCTTTCTTTCTTCTTAGGCCTCTTTCTAGAGGAGGAAATACTCACGTTTTCTCGCTGATAGTAAAAATGTATTTGGTAACTTTGTAAATACTCTCAAATTTATTTCTGTGTCTGTATGTGTGTGCCTGTATGAGTTGATGTGTGTGACTGGTGCCCAAGGAGGCCGGACGCGTCACTCACCTGGTACTGGAGTTACAGGTGCCACTGAGTCACTGCTGTGGCCGCTGGGAACCAAGCCCAGGCCCCGAGAGGAACAGCGTGCCCTTGACCACTTAGCCGGCTCACTAGTCATACATTTAGTAATTTTAAGGAATGCACATCTAGGAGTGTGTGCCAGAGGTATACATTGTATAGATAAATACAATACTGTATAGATAAATACACACAGCTGCACTGGTGTGTGTGTGTGTATGCGCACGCGTGCATGCGTGTGTGTGTGTGTGTGTGTGTGTGTGTGTGTGTGTGTGTGTGTAGGGGGAGTGTACTTATTTGTATGTGAAGCACACACATACAGTACCCACACAGGTCAGAAGAGGGTGCTGGAAATCCTGGAACTGGAGCTACAGGTAGTGGTAAGCCTCCCAGTGTAACTGCAGGGAATCAAACCCAAGTATTCTGTAAGTGTCCCGTCTTCTTAACCACTGATCTCTTGGGCAGCACTGATTTTAAAAGAGTCTCAAAATAATCTAAACCAAAAAGGGCTAAGACAATGACCTGAGAGCCATTACGCAAAGGATAGCTAAGAGGATAATGTGTAAGCAATAGAATAATGCCCGGTGCCAGGCGGTGGTGGTGCACACCTTTAATCCCAGCACTTAGGAGGCAGAGAAAGGCTACACAGAGACACTCTACCTCAAAAAAATAAAATAAAACAAACAAACAAACAAAAAGAAAAATGCCATGCATAGTGGCTCCCACTTGAAAATCCCAGCAATTCAGAGACAGAGACAGAGACAGGAGGATTTCCATCAGTCTGAAAACCAGCCTCAGCTACATAGTGAGTTCCAGGACACCCTGTCATACAATGAACCCTCTCTCACCATTTTTTTTTTTTTCCAAGACAGGGTTTCTCTATGCAAGCCTGACTGGAACTCACTTTGTAGACCAGGCTGGCCTCCAACTCACAGAGATCCACCTGCCTCTGCGTTCCCAGTTCTGGCTATGATTAAAGGCATAGGCCATCACCTCCCAGTTGTAGGAGACCGTCTCTCAAGGAAAAAGAAAAAAAAAAATGAAACTGAAGAAATGGCTCAGTGGCGACGAGCACTTATTCATGCAGAGGACCTGGGTTCAATTCCCAGTACCTACACGGCAGCTCACAATCACCCGTAACCCAGCCTCAGGGGACTCAAACCCTCCTGATCTCCTCAGGCACCAAACACATATGTGCTGCATACACATACACACAGGCAAAACATTCATACACATAAAGAAACTAAGTCTAAAATAACATTCTTTAATTAAAATAGGAAAGAAAAATGGCATCTAATAAGATATGCAACTATAAAAGAATGAAATATGACAGGACATAGCTCTGTGAGAAAGCCCTTGCCCCTGGCCATCAAGCACACTTGCAAATACATAAACACATACACACCCACTGACTCACTGAAAAAAAATGTCCAAAAACAAAAAAAGAATAAACAAAGAAAAGGGGGAGGAAAGCTGAAGAAAGAGATGCCTCTTACATTACTTCCAAAAGCTAACATAGAGGGTTCATAGTGTAGCTCAGTGGTGGAGCACATGCCTAAGACACATGAAGTTCCAGACCTCATTCCCAGCAGTATTAAAAAATAATCAGTAAGCACGTGTAGTAACTTACACGCTGCTCATACAACCTCCATGTGTGAGGGCCCTGGTTCCAACCCCAGCCACCTCGCAAAACAGAAGTGCTCAGAGAAGCACTCTTGGCGATAATGAAAACCTGGCCGTTATAAACCAGGCAGCAGGTGCTGTAATTCCAGCACTGACCACTTGGAGGCAGGAGAACCACAAGTTTGAGGCCAGTCTGAGCAGCACTGCGAGATCCAGGCTAACCTAGGCTACATGGCAGGACTTCACCTAAAAGAACAATCTGGGGGGCTGGGCCTGGTGGCATGCGCCTGTAATCCCAGTACTTGGGGCAGCAGAGGCAGGCAGATCCCTGTGAGTTCGAGGCCAGCCTGGTCTACAAAATGAGTCCAGGACAGCCAAGCATAAACAGACAAGCCCTGTCTCGTACACACCCATAAACACAAAATAAAATGTAATGAAATTTTAAAAGAAAATCTCAGAAAATCATGAAAATAGCATCATATTATAAGCACCAAAACGCTGGGTGAAGCAGCTCAAGGGGCTGAACATAAGTATCTTTTCATAAGCTCAAGGCAGCCTGTGTCACATGGCATGTTCCATGCCAACTTAAGGTACGGGGTGAGCTGGTGGCAAACACCTTCAATCCCAGCACTTAGGAGGCAGAGGCAAATGGATCTGAGTTGAGGCCAGTCTGGTCTACAGAGAGTTCCAGGACAACCAGGAATACACGCAGCAAACCTGTCTAAAAACAACAACAACAATAATAATATATAGTTTTTAATGTTAAACCTTTTGGTCTCAGTGATGCTTAATGCTCTAAGATCAATTTCTAGCACAATTAAAAAACAGCATCCAAAACAAACAAACAAACAGCATGGCAGTCCATGCTTTAATCCCAGCATTGACAGCGGCATTGATTTCAAGGACAGCATGGTATACAAAGTAAGTTCCAGGACAGCCAGAGCTACATAAAGAAACCTTGTCTCTACTTTTTGTTTTTTTTGGTCCCCCAACCCCTAGCCGTTTCTTTTTTTTCCTGCAGTTATTTCCTCTTGCTTTTCTACTTTCTTTATAAATTGATTATCTTATCCTGGCTATTTTCCATCTCTCTTTTTTGTTTGTTTGTTTGTTTGTTTTTTCAAGACAGGGTTTCTCTGTGTAGCCTTGACTGCCCTAGACTCGCTTTATAGATCAGGCTGGCCTCAAACTCAAGAGATCCGTCTGCCTCTGCCTCCCAAGGGCTGGGATCACAGGTGTGTGTCAACAAGCCCAGCTGAAACCATGTCTCTAAATAAACAAACAAATCTCTGGATTCATATAATGCCAATGCAGGAAAATATACATAAACTGTCCAACAGTTCAAAGTGGTTGAATTATCAAAAGTCAGAGCCAGGAGCTGGGAGGATAGTTCAATGGTTAAGCACTTGCACGGCGGGCTCTAAGCCTAGGTTTGATCGCCGGAATTGAAAATACTTGAAAGTCAAATTTGGTTTTTTAAAACAGGGTTCTCTGTGCAGCACTGGCTGTCCTGGACTGTCTTTGTAGACCAGGCTGGCCCAAACTCACAGAGATCTGCCGGCCTCTGCCTCTCTGCCTGCCTCCTGGGATTGAAGGCATGCGCCGCCACCACCAGCCAGCTTAAAGTCAAATGTGTTAACTATTTTCTAAATGTACATGGTGTTTTATCTGGATGTATATCTATTTGAGGGTGTCAGGTCCCCTGGAACTGGAGTTACAGACACTTGTCAGCCACAGTGTGGGTACTGGGACCTCTGGAAGAGCAGTCAGTGCTCTTAACAACTGAGCCATCTCTCTAGTCACTTGTTAAATTGTTTTTGGTTTGGTTTGGTTTTATTGGGTTAGTTGTTTTTTGTTGTTTGTTTGTTTGTTTGGTGTGTGACATTACTGGCCAGCTTGTTAAACTGTTTTAAAGATTTTATTTATGGTCCAGGCATGACGGCACCTTTGATCCCAGCACTGGGGAGGCAGACAGGCAGATCTCTGTGTGGTCTACAGAGCAAGTTCTAGGACAGCCAGAGGTACACAGAGAAACCCTGTCTCAAAAACAAATTAAGATTCTATTTATTACTTTTTAATACATATGTGTGAGTGCCTGCGTGAGTCTATATGCACATGTATGCTGGAGTCCTCAGAGGCCAGCAGAGAGCATTAAATACCCTGGAACTAAGTTTCAGACAGTCGAAAGCTCCCCTGAGGGTGCTGGGAACCAGACCCAGGTCCTCTGGAAGTGCTGTTAACTACTCAGCCATTGCTGCAGCCCAAGATTTGTTCAATTCCAAAGGCTCTGTTCTCTGTATTTTACAACTGCCATACTCCCAACCTGATACCTCTGCCTTTACAACACTTACGTGCCAAAACCTTCAGACTCAGAAGAAGTCACCAATCTCTGCTAACAGTAAAATGTGCAAGGTAGGCATGGTACCGTATGCCCACTATGCCAGCACTTGAGACGTGGAAGTCCGTAAGAAGCTTGAGGCAAGCCTGGGATACCTTGACTCAGATTTAAATCCTCAGCAAATTATCAAGGTCTAGCCAATGTTAAGCACATTTTTTTTTTTTTTTACCTCTTTGACTCAGGTGGCTGTCTCTTCTTTATCATTCCACGGAGCCTTGCAGCTGACTGAAAAGCACACAGAATATATATATATATATGCACATAAAAATGCTATCATATAACTACACTGTTTATCCATTAAAATATTAAGTATCTGCTACCTCTTATCTAGATTTAGGAAATACAAATTTTTATGATGTGATACTTACTCTCTGTAGCCGATAAATACATCAATAATAAAAGCAAGTATGTCACACCATCTAATATACTGGCATTCTGGTACCTTGAGCCAAGCAAGCTGTTTACCAGTTTATATGATTAAAGACAGTATTTAATCAAACATACTATTACAGGGCAGGCAGCACGGCTCAGTAGCACAGCGTTTGCCCCGCCTGCACCGGCTTGGTATCATTCACAACACTGTAAAAAGAACTTGAAAAAAACTAATAAGCAAAGTGAGGTGGCTCACACCTCTCTATACTCCCAACATTCAGGAGGCTCAAGTAAGACAAATGTGATAAGTTCAAGACCAGCCTGGCTACATGGCAAGATTGCCTCAAAAAACAAAACAAAACAAAACAAAACAAAACAAAACAAAACAAAGAACGAGCCAGTGAAATGGCTTCATCCATAAAAACATTTGCCAAGCCTGGTGACCTGAGGTCAGTCTCCGGGACCCATACGGGTACAGGATGGAACTGACTTCTGGCTCACAGAAGTGTCTTACCAGGACATACAAAGAAAAACAAGCAGCTGAGCGTGGTGGTGCATGCCTTTAAGCCCAGCACTCAGGAGGCAGGGGCAGACATGTCTGTAAATTCAAAACCAGCCCGGTCTACACGGTGAGTTCCAGGGAGACTGTCCCAAAGGAGGAGGAAGAGGACAATGACCACAAACCTACCGACCTTATGTCAAACGTTGCTTGAATTTTGCCTTCCCTCATTTGACACTATGGAAAATTATCTAGTTACCTCATCTTGGTTTTCATTACAAACCTCATACATACCTCTGATAACTGAAGGGAGGCAAAAAAGTTTGCATTTTCTCTGATGTTCTTCAATCTCTTCCTCTCATAAGGTGACAATGTTGAAAAGTCATCCTAGAAAATGCATTCCCCCCCCCCAAAAAAAACAAAATCTGTTACTTCACACATTAATAGCAAGAGCAACACACAAAAGCAGATACTTCATTCTCTGCCCAGACACCTCCCTTCACAGCGCACACAGACGCTGATTATTTCATATCATCTTAACAGACAGCCCATAATCTTTGCTGGACTGGATAGTAAGAGAATCTGAGTTTGGGACAACTGTATGGCTTTCCAGTTAAAAAACAAGTAGCCTGCCTGGCATGGTGACATGCACCTTCGGTCCTAGCACTTGAGGCAGAGGCCGACAGCTCTCTGAGTTGGAGACCAAGTCTACACTGTGAGTTCCAGGACAGCTAGGGCCTATGTCTCAAGGAAAAAAATAAATAAATAAAGGTAACCTAATATGCCGTGTCCTTATGGCAAACTATTCCCTAGCAAACAAAAGTTACTTTTACAGTAAATTAAACACACCCAAGTAAATAAATACATGCCTGGATGGCAAAGACAGGATTCCTGGGGCTCAGTGGCAGCCAGTGTAGACATCAGTGAGCTCCACGTTCAGTGAGACCTTGTCTCGAAAAGTAAGGTGAAGGGCTATAGGGAGAGCCACGCAATGTTAGCTTCTGACCCCCACACAAAGATACACGGAACCTGGACACACATATGTATAAACCACACACAAAACATTCTGAGCTAGCTGGGCTTTTTTGGTTATTTTTTTTTATTTTTATTTTTTAGGATTTATTGATTGATTATGTGTACAATGTTGTGTCTGCATGTACGCCTGCAGGGCGGAAGAGGGCACCCTGTGAGCCACCATGTGGGTGCTGGGAATTGAACTCAGGACCTCTGGGAGAGCAGCGAGTGCTCTTAACCTCTGAGCCATCTCTCCAGCCTTCTGACCGCAATTCCTCAGGAAGAAAAGGTAGTGGGATTGTGAGCTAGAGGCCAACACGGGCTAAAACAGAGCTCACTTTATCTAGAACTTTGCTTGTCTAGAACAAAGTCTTGGGTTCAGTCCCATGCACTGCAAAAAGCTAAGCATAATCTTAGCACTTGGGAAGTAGAGACAAGAAGACCGGAGGTTCATAGTTACTCTCAGTCATATACCAGATTCAAGCCCAGCCTAGGATATGAGACCCTGTCTCCAGAAACAAGAAATGGAGACATTTCTACAGAAAGATTAGGTCCTAGGAAGATTAGCTCAGTGGGAAAGGCAAGTATTTAGCACATTCAAGGCCCTGGATCCAATCCAAACACCACAGGAAAGCCAGGCATAGTGACACACGCCTGAGATCCTGGTAAGAGAATCAGGAGTTCAAAGTCAGCTTGGGCTTCATGAAACTTTTTCTCAAAATCCAAAATCAGGAGGGCTAGATAGCTCAGCAGTCAAAACAAAAGCACCTGCCACCAAGCCTGGTGACCCGAGTTCAGTTCCTGGGACCCAGATGGTGGAAGGGAAACCATCTCCAGCAAGCTGTGCTCTGACCACACACAGACCACGGCAAGCATGTACAGCTGCTCCACCCACCTTCCCCTCCACAAACAAATTACTTAATCAATGTGAAGATTTTAAGCACCGATGTCTAAGCTATCCTTAAGATCTAGTCTAACTAGATCGGGGTTCAGTCTGAGGATTGAGGGGTTTACTATCGTTATTATCACATCTTTAAATGCATTTATTGTGTGTATGCATGTGTTTGGGTGTGCACATCGGAAGGTCAGAATTCAGCTTGACAGAGTCCTGGTTATCACCTTAGCAAATAGTACCCTTCACTGGGCCAAATTTTTAAAGGACATGGGAAGCGGGAATGACAAGCAGCACCGTGCTAGCTGCCTTGTTTTTGTAAACATCTGTGCTTAAAAATAGAATCACAAACCAGGTGCAGCGGCGCACACCTGTGATCCCAGCACTCAGGAGGCAGAGGCAGGTGGATCTCTGACTTCGAGGCCAGCCTGGTCTACAGAGCAAGTCCAGGCCAGGCGAGGCTACACAGGGAAACCCTGTCTCAAAAAGCCAAAAGATAAAAAATTAGAATTCTGTGAGGAGCTGAGTAGTGGTGGATGCCTTTGATCCTAGGAGAGGCAGGTGGATCTCGGAGTTTGAGAACTGAGTTCCAGGACAGCCAGCACGACACAGAGAAACCCTGTCTCAAGAAAACGAAAACAAAATCGAATTATGTATGTATGTACGTACACATACGTACGTACGTACGTACACACACACACACACACACACACACACGTGTGGGATTGTCTTACTTAACACATATGAGCACTTATTGCTTTGGCCATAATAAATAATCTTCTCAAAGTGAAACTGGAATGTTTGTATTTGTCATCACCTTGTCTGGTTTTGTTGAGACACAGTTTCTTTTTAATATGTATATATACATTATTTTTATTTTATGTTCATTAGTGTTTTACCTATATGTGTGTCTGTGTGATGGTGTCAGAGTCCTGAAAATGGAGTTACAGACAAGTGTGAGCTGCCATGTGGGTGCTGGAAATTGAACCTGGGTCCTCCAGAAAAACAGTGTTTTTACCCGCTGAGCCTTCCCTCCTGCCCAAGACAGGGTTTCAGGAATCCCAGGCTGGGCTTGAACCTGGTGTATGGCCAAGAATGACCTTTAACTTTGGATCCTCCTGCCTACCAAGCCTAACTGAGCCCCCACAGGTAGAAGGCAAACCAGCTCCCATAAGTTGTCCTCTGGCCTCACTGCTCTTGCAGAGGACCTGAGTTGGGACCTCAACACCCTTGCCAGGAGGTTCTTGGGGCTCTCTAGCTCCAGGAAATCTCAAGTCATCTAGCCTCCTAGAGCGCATGCCCCACCCCTACACTCACCTATTCACATAATTAAAGAGTGTAAGATGAAGCTGGAGAGAGGTCACGGTGAGAGAGATCACTTGCTGCTAATGCAGAAGTCCTGAGTTCAGTACTTGGCCTCTACATGGTGGCTCAACCTATGTGTACAACAATTCCAGAGGCCCTGAGCATCCTCTTCTGACTTCCACAAGCACCAAGCACGCACGTGGTGCACATACATACATGCATGCAGGCAAAACACTCACAACGTTAACAGTAAAATCCATCTAAAAGGAAAAAAACTTAATCTGTATCACTGTCGCTAAGATTCTTTTCCTAGGAGAGCATAAGCAACATCTCTTGGGGGATGAGCTTGTACACTACGAACTCAGATGCTGAATTCTGTGCTTGGAGATCTGGTTGCAGTCCTGACATGAGCACCGTCATAAACGTTGAAGTATTTCCTGTCTCAAGGTTGTGGGAACACTGCTTCCCAATTAACCCTGAATAGTTAATAAAAAAGCTAATCAGCTATTCAGAGAGGAGAGGAGGCAGGACTTCAGAGGCCAGTCAACTGCCTCGGAGGAGGGAGAAAAGGAAGGTTGAGGAGGAGGCTGCCATGAGGACAGAGAGATCCTGCAGAGGGCCAAGGCGAGACTGAGAGGACAAGCAGAAGGCCATGTGGCTGGGAAGTAGGCATACTAGCATAAGAGATGAACCCCTGCCCAGCTGTGGCGCTCTAAAGCTTATTAATGAATCTAATAGCTCTGTGCCAATCATTTGGGAGCCAGAATGAGTAACAGGAAAAAAAAAAAAAAAAGGTTTTCTATTATTTTACAAACATTTACCCAAATCCCACCACAGTTCACTCTGGGGAGCAGTGAGCTTACTGAGCTTCCTTCCAGGGGGGGGGGGGGGGGGGGGGAGTTACTGACAGGAGTGTGTGCTCCCCTGCCTTTACCCAGCAGGTAGGACCCTCCCAGAAGCCTCGCAGGTAAGGCTGCACACAGCAGGCGACTGGAAGGGGCTGTGACTAAAGAGCCAGCAGGGCCAGCTGGGAGTCTCTCTTTCAGGCAGGCGCAGCTGAATGCTTCAGAGTGAGAGCAGCCTGGCTCTAAGGATGGTCTTGTACAACTAAAGTTAAAAGTATCTGAGGACTAGACATGACTTAGTGGGTATAGCGGTGGCTACGGAAGCATGAGGACCTCGGTTCAGACCCCAGCACCACACAGTCAGGCACGACAGCACAGTCCTTAACACGCCCCCCACCCACCCAGGTGGACAGTGGAGACTCGCAGACCCCGGGGAGGCTCACTGGCCAGCCAGGCTAACCAAGCAGCTGAGTTTTAGGTTCAGCAAGAGATTCTGTCTTCAAAATAAATAAATACAAAGAGGTTATGCAGCGAAGACATCCTCTGGCCCCCACACACAACCACGTGGTGAGAGCACCTTCACACATATGCACAGCACAGGGACACACACAGGTGAGTTATTAGGTCACAAAACTAGAAAGGGGATCATGAGAGGAGAGAAAAACATCTTTCAGGAGATGGTAAATAAGCCGGGCATGGTGGCACACACCTTTAATCCCAGCACTCACGGAGGCAGAGGCAGGCAGATCCCTGCGAGTTTAAGGCCAGCCTGGTCTACAAAACGAGTCCAGGACAACTAAGGCTACACAGAGAAACCCTGTCTTGAAAAGAGAGAGGGAGAGAGAGAGAGAGACTAGCCAGGATAATGGAATCAAGTCAATGAGAACGCAGAGAAGCAGAGCGAAAGTAACTGCCAAAAAAAAAAAAAAAAAAAGAAACAGCTGTGTCGGGGCAGACATGAGGGAGAATAGGAGAGGGGAATGAGGACGATGTATAAGAACTATGTACGACGATATGAACGCTAAAACCCGTTACTACATAGTCTAACCTGAACTTTTTAAAAATTATTTTTCTTTTCTATTTTTTAAACTAGGCTGCAGGATGGCCTAGCAGTTAGGGACACTGCACTTGCTACTCTTCCAGAGGCCATCAGCTTAGTTTGCAAGCATCCACACAGAGCAGCTCGGAACTCCAGCTCCGGGAGACCTCACACCTTCCGGGATCCTCAGACACCAGCACCCATGGCCTACATGCGCGCAGGTACACGAGTAGAAATTTTAAAGTAAGTGAACTCACATGAAGTGGTTTCTATGCTGGCTCTCACAAAATACCACCTTCACCCCTTGGAGGGGGCACTTTAAAGAGAGAGGCTCACTCTTTAGCCCAGGCTAGCTTCCCATTCCTCCTGTGTCAGCTTCCTGGAATGCTGGAATGTGCGTACAGGACGGCCAAGGCTACACAGGGAAACCCTGTCACAGAAAAACCAAAACCAGACCACAAGGCCAGCACTGCGCCTGCGCAGACAGGACACACCTTCCTCCCAAGGGTCCTGCTGTGGGCTGGATGACCCCGCCCTCTCCCCACGAGCGACACGGACACCCGTGGGATTCTTTGTTTTCAGCGGGTTCGTAAGTATGTTTTTCCCGGGGCCCATTGTGACTGTGGCTTCCCGGAAGGAGCCGAACCGGAAGTAGCGTGGCCGCGCACGAGATTCCACGGTAAATAAAGCCCTGTCCTGGGAGGGGGGAAAAAAAAACCAGTAGTAGACGTGCAAGTCTACCGTCCCAAGACACCGCAACAACAGAGAGAAAGAAAAATCATAATCTAACCTCGAGAAAACACTAGGCATCTCGGATTGCGAGACATTATCCAGAATAATGGTGCAGGGTCTTCCAAGTGTTCAGGACAGGCTGAGGAACTGTCACAGATCAGTTTCTCCTTAACATGAGGATGAACTAAGTGACAAACACTAATTGCTTACACGTCTGTTCTGGAGACCCACGGCCAGGCCAGCCTGAAACTGGTGATCCTCTTGCCTCAGCCTCCCGAGTTAGTCTCTCATTTGCAGCTTTTCTGTAACTTGGGGTTACTGAAAACTTTTTAAAATGTCACCTGCAGCCAGGGTGTGGTGACACACACTTATAATCCCAACACGTAGGAGGAAGAGGCAGGAAAATCAGTTTCAGAGTCGTCCTCAGCTAAACCAGAGTGTGGGTGTTTGCCTGTTTGTTTTTGAGATGTCCTGGCCTCAAACACACAAAGACCCACCTGCCTACTGAGTAATGAGGTAATATGTACCACCTTACCCACCCCAAGGAGCTTGAGGCCAGCCTGTGCTGAGACCTAGCTCCAATTTTTTTGATGTTGTTTTGTTTTTGTTTTCAAAACAAGGTTTCTCTATGTAACCCTTACTGTTCTGGAACTCTGTAGATCAGGCTGACCTCGAACTCATAGATTCACCTACCTCTATCTCCCAAGTGCTAAAATGAAAGGTGTTGCCCACCACCACCCAGCTCTAAAAAAAAAAAAATTTAATTTTAAAAAACAAACAAACAAAAACATAATAGGCATGGTAGCTTTAGTTCTAGCCCTCAAGGAGGTGGATCCCAGAGTTTAAGGCCAGCCTAGTCTACAGAGTGAGTTCCAGGATATCCAGGGCTACACAGAGAAACCCTGAGTTGAAAAACAAAAATAAATAAATAATAATAAACAAAAACAAAAACTAGGAACTAAAACTGTAGTTCTGTTGGTGGAGTGTTCACGTGGTATGAGCCCTGGGCTCAACGCTCAGACAACATAAGCCAGGTGTGAGCTCAGCCGAAGGAGATAGGCCAGAGGACCAGAGTATGCTGGAGAGACGCCTCAGCAACTAAACATCATCCTTGGCTTCAAAAAGGGGCTGAGGGGCTAGAAAAAAAAAAAAATGGCTCAGCAGTTAAAACCATTGGCTGCTCTTCCACAGGACCCAGGTTCAAATCCCAGCACTCACATGGCAGCTCACAACTGTCTCTAACTCCAGTTCCAGAGAACCCAACACCCACACACAGACACATATGCAAGCAAAACACCAATGTAACATAAAATAAAACTAAATGATTTCAAAAAAAAAAAAAAAGAGGGGAGGTCTGACTCTGGAATAATACCTAAGACCTGCCTCTAAAATAAATAAATAGATAAATACTCAGCTGCTGAGAAGGTCTTTTTATTGCATTCATTTATTTGTGTGTATGTGTGTGTGCATACATGTGGAAGTCTCAGGGTATAACTTTCAGGAGTCAGCTCTCTTTCCCAATTGTAAGCCCTGGGGAGCAAACTCACCCTCAGCCCCCTGAGCAGTATCACCAGCCACGGAGAAATTTTTTCTGAGGTTGAGGTTTTTTGTTTTTTTCAATCTCACTTGTAGCGCTGGCTGGTCTAGGGTTCACTATGTAGACCAGACCAACACTGAACTTGCATCGGTCTTCCTCCTTCTATCTTGAAAGTGCAGGGACCTGAGGGCTGGAGAGATGGCTCAGGGGTTAAGAGCACTGGTTCTTCTTCCAGAGGTCCTGAGTTCAATTCTCAGTAACCACATGGTAGCTTACAACCATCAAACCAAACTTCGGATCATTTTTATTGGTTTTAGGGTTTGTTTGTTTTTTTTTATTTTGTTACCTGATGCCTCTCATTTGCTAGGCAAGCATTCCACAGCTGAGCTATTTATCCCCCGGCCCAAGAAATTCCTTATAAAGTGATGCATGGGGCCAAGAGAATCTCAGAAGTTTGAGAATAGCCTGGGCTACACAGTGAGTTCCAGGCTAGCCTGAGCTACTAAATGAAGTCCTGCTGGAAGAATGGCAAGAAGAGAGAAGAGGTGGCCAATTCTTTATAAGGTGAAATATTTAATAGAATGTAGAAAGGCTGGAAAACGAAAGTCACAAATTTTTGTAGAGGGATTTTTAATCCAGCAACATGTCTACTCTGGCTGGAATGCAGACATACCCTCAGTATACACCTTTAATGCCAAACAATAAAGATAAAGTCAGTTTGTAGAAGGAAGCACCCATGTTTGAAAGTGATATCTCATTGAGAGGCAGACAAAATGACAAATCAGAGAAAGATATGACAGAATTAGTCAGAGATAGGAAATGCCCAACTCTCACCAGAAGAGACAGGAAAAAGAGGACTTAAGAGAGCAGCACTGAGGGAGAAAAGGAGGAAGCAGTTTTATCACAACAGTTTACAGAGACAGGTTGCAGAGAGAGAACAAGCCAGAGAAAGAACAGGAATCAGAAGACTAGAATAGATTCCCAAAGTTAGTATGAGGCCAAGCAGAGCAATTCAGTCAGAAGCTAAGAAAAGCCAGTTGGAATCAGCCAGCTTGGCCGAGGAGTTTGAACCAGCCAGAGTTCAGGAAGAGCTAAAAAAGAGTGAGCTTATTCAGCAGTAAATCTCAGAGGCTGAAAACATTCTAAGCCTAGGGTAGATTGTACGGAGGCTAGAAGATTCCAGGACTAGGCCTGGCTTAGCAGACGGAGGCAGTAAGCCTCAAGCTGACAACTACTCAAGTGAATAAAAGTTACTTTAACAAATTTTCCCAGAAAATAAAACAAAATTCTATACTTGCAGTCCAAGGCAATTCTAGATAATATGAGGGAAGGGAAGAAGCTGAAGACTAAATTCTTCTAAAGCATGGCAAAGCCTTAGTCACCCTACTCCAGATGCTCAGAGCTTGTATAACACGCATAACCTTAGGTTTAATCCCCCAAACAATAAAAAATAAAAATAAAAATAAAAATAGCGCTGCTCATGAAAAGGGAAGAAACTAGTGAACTGTATGATTACAATGTTATCTTAGCCTGGCCCAGTGGTTCAGGGCTGTAATCCCAGCTAATACAGACACACAAAACGATCAAGAGTTCTGTAGCCAACCTGGGCAACTTAGTAAGACCCTGCCTCAAAACAGAAAGTGAAAAAGGGGGCTGGAAGCCCGTCAGTAGTACAGTGCTTTCCCTAGCACTGGGAGCCTCTAGGTGCTGTTCCGAGCACCACAAAAAAAGATAAATAAATGCAGCATCTTACACTTTGTCTTTTTTTTTTTTAATTATTTTAGGCGTTCATAACACTGCTTAAACATCTCTACTGCTGTAGTTTTTTGCTCATTACACTTAAGCAAAAAGCAGCTTTTTGTTAAGCTCATATATCCATCAGTCTTAGTTTAAGACATAATCTAATCCAACAGTTCTTAAAGCACAGTCCCAGACCAAAAGTATTGCTGCCTGTTAAGCAATTATAAAAGGGTGGGGTATGCCTTTAATCCCATCACTCAGGAAGCAGAGGCAGGCGGATCTCCATGAATTCAAGGCCACCCTGGTCTACACAGTGAGTTCAGGGTTACACAGAGAAACCATGTCTCAAAAAATCAAAAAAAGAAGAAACTATTGCAACAACCAGGTGAGGTGGTATAGGCTTTTAATTCCAGCACTTGGGAGGAAGAGTCCAGTCCCATCACAAAGCAAGTTCCAGGCCAGCCTTTGCTCCATAGTAAAACCTGATCTCATAAAAATCTTTTTAATTAATTTTCCAGCCAGACATGGTGGCATACACCTGTGATCCCAACATTTACAAGACTTTTCAAGAAGACTGCAAGTTGGAGGCTAACCTGGGCTACGTAACAAGATCCTGTCTCAAAAAAGGCACTTGCCTTTAATCCCAGCACTCAGGAGGCAGAGGCAGGTGGATCTCTTGAGCTTGAAGCCAGCCTGGTCTACAGAGCGAATTCCAGGACAGCCAGGGCTACACAGAGAAACCCTGTCTTGAAAAAAAAACAAAACAAAAACAAACAAACAAACAAAGGCTCTCAAGACAACTCATCAGGTAAAGGTGCCTGCGTCATACCTGAGAATCTGATTTTGCTTCCTCTGAGCTCCACACTGGTGCCAGGGCACATCCATGCACACAGCCCCGTGTGCAGACACACACAAGCATATACATATACAAGACTTTTATTTTAAATTTACAATAGATGATAAAAACATTTTGCTGGCGGTTCCTTACCGAGTTAGCTTTCAGAACTGAGAGGAGAAGTACAAATCAGGTCTTACCAGGCCTGGGGCGCTGTCCTCGTCGCTGCTGTGCACGTCCGCACCAAGAGGCCCTGAGTCTGACGTGCTCCTGTGCTCCAGCTTGGTACTCTGAGGATAAGCTTCCGAGGACAGTTTCAGCAGACCGGATTCTGCCTTGGAGGATAAGGCCTTCATCTTTGGAGTTAAAACGGTTCTGCAAGCTTTCTTCAGGCTGGTCTTCTTACACACTGCATTACTAGAACTCTTTTCCACCGGGGATTCGGACAACTTAAATAGGCCTAGCTTGGAATTGCTGAGCGAAAATGGGGAAAGATAAACCTTAGCTGTTTTCCCTAAAGTTGTAGTCTGTATTGGTCTCAAAGAAGTATAAGCAATATTTTCATTTTCTTTATATTCGTTCACCTATTTGGGGCAATAAAGGAAAAAAGTGTTAGGAATACCAGATCCTATGTTCTTCCTTACAAGACACTAAGCAGATCTTTGTAAATAAATCTGACTCCTCCTTCATAGCAACACGATTCACAATGATAGCCTGTTGGTAAACTTTTTCCCTCCTCCAAAATCTGAATACTTAACTGAATAAAATTACTGAAGGCAAATTTGTTCTACCTAAGTCTGTAACTGAGGTGAGCACGCCAAAGGTCAGATTCAGGTTAGCTGTAATTGCTTAAAGCTGACAGTAACTCCTGCAAAGCAAAGGCAGGGAGCCAGGGGGAAAAAGTCCCAAGTCAACCCTACAGGTTTGAGGTTGTTTTTTGTTTTGGCGGGGAGGAGAACCTCACTACCCAGCACTGGCTGGCCTAGAACTCACTATGCAGACCAGGCTGGCCTCGAACTCAGAGAGTTCTACCTGCTTCCGCCTCCAGAGTGATGCGATTAAAGGCGAATCTACTTCTGGAGTTACTCCTGGAGCTGGTAGGAAATTTTCCTCAACGCTTAAGGACCTAATCTTCTTTAAAGAAAAACAAATGGGCAGGGCCCACGGCTTTTCTTTGGCGCCAGGTGCCAGCGTCTAGCAGACCCCTCCCAGGCCGAGTCGGGTCTCACCTGCACCTGGGCACACTGTTGGCCCGCCTCGGCCTCGGCGCAGGCCCCAGACATCTTTCTGCCTCTGAGCTGCGGAGCTCTTCGGCCGGAACCAAGGGGAAGATTAGACCGGCCCTCGCGTGATGTGGGCGGGCCTGTGGGAGGCGCCTCCGCGGCCCCCAAGGAAGACCGGCCTGGACTACCTGGGCCAAAAGCCCTTTTTTGTGTATGTGGGTTTACTGTTTCTAGGTTTAACAGCCTCGGCTGTGCTGGAATTCACCTTGCCGAAGCAGGGTGTCCTCGAACTCACAGAGATCCTCCTGCCTCTGCCTCTCAAAAGCTGGGATCAAAGACTACGCCGGAAGACTACGCCGGGTGCCGTCCGCCTTTTGGGCGCCTTTTTTGTTCTGAATCCCTCGCGGCCGTCCACCCGTCTGCACAAACCTGCAGCTGACCTTTTGAGTTGGTCTAGTTTACCCACAAGCTCTCAGGATCCGCCTGTGTCCACCCCTTCAATGCCGGGGCTTTTCCCGGAACTCCCTCAAGCTTGCCAGGTCAATGCTCTTACCCAGTGAGCCAGCTACCCGGCTGTGTTCTGGGTTTTGGTTTTTTGTTTTTGTTTGTTTTTAGTGCAGCATCTCTTTATATAGTGCCTCGTAATTCTACTGCCTCAGCTTCCCGATTGTAGGATCCAGGGCCTTAATCAACACTTACATTGGGTCCTGTAATGTTAAGGACACTGCTTGGGGTTGGGGATTTAGCTCACCAGGCCCCGCATTCGGTCCTCAGCTCTGGGGGATGGGGGAAGGGGCGAGACCACCGCACACACCCCCTAAAAAAGAAAACTGGCTCTTTAGTTAGAAAAACTCCATACTGCTGCTTTGTAGCATGACTCTGGAAAAGATCTACAATGCCATATTGGAAGATAAATACGCAGAGCCTAGGAAAAAAATCTGCAAAGTGTTTGCTTTGGGACCTGTGTTTGATTCCCCAGCACCCAAATTAAAAAGACGGGGTTATAATCCCAGCAGAGGCAAACAAGACAAGCGCAGTTCCGCGGCTCCTATGGCTATACAGAGCCCCAGGTACCGGAGACACTGTCTCGAAAACGTGGAAGATGAATGACCCAATAAAGCCTAGTAACTTTATTCCCAGAGCCCACATAAAGGTGAATTCTCATTGTTGTCCTCTGAGCTTCCTATGTGAGCCAAGGCACACACACATCAATAATAGTAATAATTTTATAAAGGTGGACAGATCCTGAGGAAGGACCTCCAAGACTGGCCTCTGACCTCCACGGGCATGCATGTAGACAAATGCACAACCCTTTCTCCTTTTCCCACACCGCACACACACCAACTCAACACTCAGCCTTTACTTCTGCCCTCTTTCTTGCAATACCGCTACCAGAAAATTACACCTCACCATCCTGTACTTTTTAAAATCTTAAGGGGAGCAGCTAAGCATGATGACCCATGCCTGTCATCAGACTCAAGAGGTAGAGACAGATGGATCAGATTTCAAAGTTGTCCTCAGCCAACTAGGCAGTTCAAGGGAGGCGGGAATTACGTGAACCCCTGTCACAAAAACGGGGGGGGGGGGATAAAGAAAAAAGCATTTTGTGTTCCTTGTTTTCTAGGCACTGATAATGCTGGTGTATACTGCACACAACTATCTGTCCACCTGTTTTTAACTAATGAAGAATTACAGATGGCCAGCGTTAACAACAGCCCTCAAATCCATCCTCCTCAGCACTGGTGTCACAGAGACTACAGCAAGTGGCGATCCAGTCAGTCTGGGCTACGGTCACAAAGACCTTGGCTTCTATCCCTGGCACCACATAAAACCAAGCGGGTGACCCACACCTGTAATCTCAGCTGTAGGCAGTTGAATGAAGGACACCAGAACTTCCAGCTCATCCTCAGTTACTTTAAGAGTTACAGGGCAGGTTGGGGTACATAAAACGCTGTTTCAAGCTTAAAATAAGATAAAAAGAAGAGGAAGAAGAGGCAGGTGCAGCAGCAGAAGCTGAAAGCCTCAGATTCTGGGCATTACCAAATAAGATTTCCATACACTGTCTTTCGTAAAGTCAATGCCTTGTTAAGTCTTTTCCTCGTATTCTCTTGAGTTGACCTGAACGGAAACAATTATCTTTCCATCACATTTACCACCCATGAAATTCCCTACGCCAAGCTAAGCCTCACTCAGAACAAACAACGGCTCTCCTGAACTGCACCTGCAGCTCAGCAACATAAAATTTTAGGCTAATAAGTTCATAATATGAAATTTCTATGTCTAGTGAAGAGGCACACCTATGTAGGATCCCAGCTACTCGGGGAGCATAGGTAAAAAAAACAAAACAACAACAACAAAAAACTTGGAGGCAAAAATAAACAAATTCGCCTGGGCAACACGGCTAAACAGTTTCAAAATTAAAAGAAAAATAAAGCTTTCTGCCCCCTCTCGCCTTTTAAGGCTTTTCTGGTGGTAAGCTTCCCCACTTATCTTAAAGTTTGCCAATTTCCTCTCTTCACCCAGCAAGGACCCAATTTCCAAAAACGAGAGAAATAATTTGGTAATTATATTGACTCAAGGTCCTCTATGATATAGTATTCGCAGAATTTTCACTATGTAGACCAGACTAGCCTCAATCTCAGAGATCCGCTTGCCTCGGCCTTCCGAGTGCTGGAATTAAAGACGTGTGCCCCAACCAACAGATGTCCCCTGAGGGTTTGTTTTTGTTTTTGTTTGTTTCTGAGAATGAGGCAGGGACTCATTCTGTAGCCCAGGCTGGCCTCCAAACGCGGCAATCCTGTCCCGCCCTTCCAGACGCGGGAATTACAAGCGTGACCCATGTAAGCGGCTCCAGCTCTTTTTACACTTCTGAGCTTTTAACAATATGCACAAACAGCCCCTCACAATCTGCTCGGTTTCTTCAAAACATAACAAATGAAACCTTTAATCAGAACCTTCCTGGACCTTACCAAAACCCCAAAGAAGTAACTGCCCGCCAGAAGGAAGTTTCCAAATCTTGAGAAGTTAAAGGCGGGAAAGTTGCCTACGAGGTCGCTCAAATTTCAGCCTAGCCCTTTAAGAGGGCCGAGCTCACGAGTCCTCCAAAATCCCACAATCCTCTGCTTGTAAATTTCCGGTTCCTCTAGCTCTGCCGGAAGTGGCTTCTGTCAGTCGCGCAGCAGAGTCGGGCGAAGCTTGGTGGGAAGCGGTGTTCTGTTCCTTGGTGTTCCCTGTTGGGATTCAGTCAGATTTTGGGAGTCTCCGCCGCAGCCGTCACCATGTCGGTCCCCAGCGCACTCATGAAGCAGCCGCCCATTCAGTCTACGGCTGGGGCCGTCCCAGTTCGCAATGAGAAAGGTACTGGCTCCCCTCCCCTCCGGTCGGATCCCACCTCTTTCATCCTCATTATCCATCAAACGTGCCTTAGGCCGGCCATACCAGTCCCGCTGACCATGAAGACCTAGCCTCCGTTACTTTTTTAAATCTTACTTATTTTTGTTTTATGTACATTGGTGTTTCGACTGCATGTATGTCTATGTGAGGGTGTCAGATCCCCTGGAACTGAAGTTACAGACAGTTGTGAGCTACCATATGGGTGTTGGGAATTGAACTCAGATCCTCTGGAAGAGCAGACAGTGCTCCTAACCGCTGAACCATCTTCCCAGCCCCTAGCCTCAGTATCTTCCTCCGTTCCACCCAAATTCTCACCCCTTCCTTCACGCGGCCTAGAGATCAGGGGATGCCGGGTCCACTTTTATCTATCTGATTGATTTGGTGAGATCCACCCCTCAAAAAGTACGGGAAGCTGGAAGAAGTGGCTCAGCAGGTAAGAGCACATACTGCTCTTCCAGAGGACCCGAGTTAAATTGCCAGCACCCACATCAGGAGACTCCACAGCCATCTGGAACTTCTGGCCTCTGCCAGTACCTGTGCTCGTGAACATACCTACACACAGCATCGTTTAAAAAGTAATAAAGATAGCTATAGCTCAACCATTAAATGCTAGGCTCACAACCAAAACAGTAACGAAAATAAAAACATAAGTAAAAAACTGAGCTGGAGGTGTGTGTGTGTGTTAGTTATGGCCAGAGTTATGTTTGATTTGCCCAGTTTGATTAAAAGGGTTTCCTTATGTTACAAAGTAATCTGATTAGTTTGTATTCTCTTTCTGTTCACTGGGATTATTTGTTTTGTTTATTTATTTTTACCTGTATGAATGTTTTTGTCGCGTGTATTTTGTGCACCATGTGGGTGCGGTACCTGTAGTGGCCAGAGGAGGGCATGGGATCCTCTAGAAGTGGAGTACAGACCGCCACATAAATGCTGGAATATGAAGTCAGGTCCTCTGCATGAGCTGCAGGTACTCCTTGCTGAGCCATCTCTTGAGCTCCAACTTGTTTCTGTTTTAGAAGAGGTCATCTGGTTTGGCACAAAAGCTAGAGGAGAAGCAGGTAGAAATAGTAAGGTTAGAATAGACTATTAAGCTATGTTGTAAAGGCTGTCATTGTGTCTCAGAGTTGGGGAGCCAGGGAGATAGCTTTTCTTACTGGGCTGGAGTTCAGACCCCTAGAGTCCTAGTATAAGCAGCACACACTTAGAACCCCTTGTGGGAGAAGAGAAGAGGAAGGATCTTTGAAGCTTGATGGCTGACTAATGTAGCTGAAATAGCAAGCACCAAGTTCAATGAGAGACCCTGTCTCAAGAAAAAGAAAAAAAAAAAGCTAAGCATGATGGCACAAGCTTTTAAGCATAGCACTCAGTAGGCAAAGACAGACACACTGCTATAAGTTTGAGGCCAGGCTGGTCTACTGAGCCAGCTTCACACCAGCCAGATCTAGACAGAGAGACCCTATCTCTAAAAAAAAAAAAAAAAAAAAGGTGAAAAGGTGTTTGGGCTGGAGAGATGGCTCAGTGGTAAGAATACTCTTACAGCATTCATGTGATATGGGGTACATACATACACATACACGCAAAACAGTCATACACATAAGAAAATCTTTTTTTTTTTTTTTTTAATTTAAAGTAAGGTGGAAAAGGATAAAGGCACCTGAGTAACGACTAGCCCCTCTGCATCTGAATACATGTACATAGGGTGCTTTAAAAAAATGTAGGAATGAGCCAGGCAGTGGTGCCAAATGCCCATAATCCCAGCGCTGTGGAGGCAGAAGCAGGCAAATCTCTGAGTTCAAGGCCAGCCTGGTCTACACAGTGAGTTTTTCCAAGACAACCAAGGCTACACAGAGAAACCCTGTCTCAGGGGGAAAAAAATGTGAGTAATATTTAATTTTATGTTCCCATTTAAATTACTCTTGCTAATGTGATAGCAATTGTTTTAAAACTTTGTTTAATAAGGATGTGTTTGTTTTTTGGTTTGGTTTGGTTTGGTTTTGGTTTTTCGAGAAAGGGTTTTTCTGTGTAATAGCCTGGCTGTTCTGGACTTGATTTGCAGACCAGGCGGGCCTTGAACTGTCAGAGATCCTCCTGCCTCTGCCCCCCAAGGGCCGGGATTAAAGGTGTGTGCCAGCACCCCACGCTTGTTTGTACTTTTCTGTTGCTGTGATAAAATACCATACATGGCCATGGCAATTTATAAAAGAGAAAATTTTATTTAGGCCTATGATCCCAGAGGATTAGAGTCCATGAAGGCAGACCAAGGCATGGCAGCAGGGACAGAAAGCTGAGGGCTCTTATCTTGAAATGCAAGCATGAAGCCGGGGAGGGGAGAGCACAAGTACACGGCACCACAGTAGGAACAGTACCTGGCTTTGGGAACCTTCAAGCCCACCGTGAGGGACACACTCCCTCTAGCAAGGCTACACTCCTAAACCTTCCCAAACAGCATCACCAACTGGGAACCAAGTGTTCACACCTCTGAGCCTACAGGGGACAGTCTCATTTAAGTCACCACTAAGGGCATTGTTGAGGTGACATAGCATAAATTTTTTTGGGGAGAGGTTCTGCAGTCTCACTGCTCACATTCCTGCTTTGTTGTCCCCAAGGTACCTCTTGGTGTGGCTATTTATAAAACGACTTCTCGTGTCATAATCTTTATAGGAAAGCATTGTTATGTGATTGTGTAGTTGGATAATGGCTGCCATATTCTCCTTAGACTCTTGTACATCAAGAATTCAGGGTTCTATCCTGCAAAGGCCAAACATTGAAGGGAACTGGGGGAGAGGATACTGTAACAGGAATTGTGTTTCTTGTCCAGGTGAGATTTCAATGGAAAAAGTGAAGGTAAAACGTTATGTGTCCGGAAAGAGGCCAGATTATGCCCCTATGGAATCATCAGATGAAGAGGATGAAGAATTTCAGTTCATTAAGAAAGCTAAGGAACAAGAAGCAGAGCCTGAGGAACAGGAGGAGGACTCATCCAGCGATCCCCGGCTTCGGCGCTTACAGAACCGCATTAGTGAAGATGTGGAAGAGAGGTAATGATAAGAATTATGTTTTTCTGAACTTGAGGCCGCTCATGGAGATGATAGTAGCTAAAACTCATACGTACTGTATACCATGTATGCTGTCCCAAATAAGGTACATCACTAATTCCTACAATCTATAGAATGTCTGATAAGATTGGTACCACCATACCTATATTACAGGTGAGGAACTAAAGCAGCAAGGAGTTTTCTAGCCAGGAAGTGGCAGCTCTAGAAAACAACCCTTTTCTTGTAGGCCTAATGACTAATTCTCTGCTGAAGATAAAGAAAACAGCATTCGTTGCTCTGTTGCAAGGAGTCTTTGATATAAAAATATGTCATAAAATTTGACAAACTGATTTTATCCATGGAGTTGTTTCTTGTTGTATTGTAGCCCAACATGACCTGGAACTTGGCAGTGGTCTTCCTTCCTCAGCCTTCTCAGTGCTGATACTAAAGGTATGAGCCTTGCTCATGTATTTGTCATAAAGACAGTAAATAAAAGCGTCCAGTAGGAAAGGCATGCTATGGTTCATGTTGGGAAGGTAAACTCGGGCTGGAGAGATGGCTCAGAGGTTAAGAGCATTGGGTATTCTTCCAGAGGTCCTGAGTTCAATTCCCAGCAACCACATGGTGGCTCATAATCATCTATAGTGAGATCTGGTGCCCTCTGCTGCCCTGCAGGTACTCATGTGGGCAAAATACTGTATAAACAGTAAATCTTTAAAGGGGGAAAAAAAAAGAAAGAGAAACTCTGGGGACCAGAGCAAGATATCCTGAACTTTTAGTTCTCAGTGTTTTATTACGAAGGACTGGTAAGGAGTCTCAGCATGTAAAATTGCTTATTATTTAGGCCTGACACCCTCAGTTTTATCTTCACTGAAACAGACTCCCAAAATGTACCCATTGACGTCTGCAGACACCCTGTGGCTCGTGCATACCCGCATTCATTCTCACCTCTCTGTCTGTCTGTGTTTTTCTATATCTCTCTTGATACAGCATGCATACCTACAGTAAAAAAACAAATTTAAAATTTTCTAAATAGCATTTGTCATACACCACATGAATCAAGCATTTTTCGTTTGTTTTTTACTACCAAAGAGTTTATTCAGTGGAAGACAAGCAGAAAAGAGTTAGGGCTTGAGTGAGCCGTGAGCCAGAGAGAGACAGATACTGAGATGGGGGAGGGGCTACCCTGACACAGACAGAAAAGGGAAAGAGACTGAAACAGTGAGGGCAAGAGAGTGATTCAAAACAGTTTTAGTTATTCATTTGCTTATTTGTTTTTGTATTTACTTTTGGGGTTTTGAAAGTCTTATGTAACCCAGGCTGTCCTTGAACTCAATATATAATCCACTACTAAGCCTGCAACCTTCACTTCTAAAGTACTGAACATACAGGGCCGTGCCTAGCCATTTATTTTTATTAAATAGATAGATCCAAAGAGCTTAAGCATTTATGTCCTAACAAATAAACCACTTGAATATTCTATGCCTACAGAAGAAAAAAATGTTTTCATTTCATTCTTATAAAACCAGTTACTTGCAGCACAGTGGTGGTTCACATTTTTAATGCCAGCATTTGGGAGGTAGAGGTAAGCAAGTCTCTGA